TTCTACATCCCAAATTAGAAACCAATTTCCACAATCCTATAGATAAAAGTTAACTACTTAATTACCTAAAGTTCTCAAGAGTTAAAAGCTGTGTAATTTCTTTATATAGCTCTTCATTAAATGTCGAAAAAACTTTCAAATCCTTCACTAAAATTTCCACGGCCTTAGCTCTATCATGCCTGAAACGAAACAGAGAAAACAAGTCAATAAAGAATTCACCGAAAACCTGCATAAATCATTAAGATAGAAATAAATTGAAATTACCTGTCAAGAGCTTCCAGGTACTTCTGCTTTCTGATTTCAAAGTAAATCTTCATGGAGTACCGATTATCATCGACTTTGGTGAATCCGGAGAGGTACTTCTCAACTTCGTCCCATTCTCCGGCCAGCGCCTTCTCTTCAAAGTACTTCATGTTGAAGAAGAAACCTGACTCTTGCTCTAGCCTGAGCTCCATCAAAACAACACATAAATCAATCAAATCAACAATAACATCAACAAAATCACAAGAACTCCAAAATAATAATAATAATAATTTAAAAAGGGGAAAAAAGAAACCGACTTGTGAACGGTCTCCTTGAATTTCTCCTCTTCAAGGAATTGAAGAATCAGAAACACTAGTTCTCTGCTCAACGACGACATTCTTGGTTAATTCAAAATGAATTTGCGAGTTAGGGTTTTAGATTTCAAAATTTCGAAATCTAAAGAGGAAGCAGGGAAGAACAGAGAGACAAGGACAAGTAGAGAAACAGAAAGAGTTGAAAACGGAAGTAAGCCGTGCAATTGACGGAGTGCGAAGAGGAGGAGGCGGCGGCGGTGAAAACCTTCGACGTTTGGTAGTGGTAGGTTGGTGGATGAGAATTTAAGGTGGAATATTGGCCCTACTTGAACTGGTTTCTAGGGTTTGCGGTTCCATGTTCCACGTTCAACAAGAACAGTAAGAAGAAAAAGCTGCCATTGAAAAAACAAATGAAAAAGAAAAAAATTGAAAAAGATAAAGAAGAGAGAGAAAGAGTGTTTTCCACTTTTCCCGAAGCGTTTTTGCAGTGTCTTAATTCAACCGACTTATAACGATAAGTAAGTGAACTTATCATCAGACAGATAACTTATCTTCCGCTTTCATGAAACGGACAGTACGTGATCTGTGGGGTTTATTTGCTGCGGACGAGAGTACGAAATATCCGGGGGGGTATGGAAAGAGGGGTTGTTTTGGATTACGTGGTGAGTGATTAGTGGTGAATGGAGGGTGAGAGGTGGGCTGAGGCGTAGAGAAGTGGAGCCCGGAAGTTGAGTATTCATGGCGGAATTGAAACTCGGAAATCAAGTGTATTGGATTAAACGTCCTGAAGTCCACCAGATGCTGTTTGCTTGTCGGATGATGACGTGTCTCATGTTGGTGGTCGTAATTGGATGTGTGGAGATCTTTTCTGTCTCGCGATAATTTCGCGAACGACCGAAGTCGTGAGAACGGAGAACCAGAACCTTCCGAAGAATGTTTATGACTTTTTCTTTTGTTTTGTATTGACAAACGTTTTCTTTTGTCTTTTAACAGTAATTTTTTGGCCGCCTTTAAATTTTTAAAGGAATAATGATAAATATAATTAAAAA